AAAAAAAAAAAAAAAAAAAAAAAAAAAAAAAAAAACTTTTGACATCTTTTTTAACGCGGACATTATCATTGTTAACCTAAGTTTTTAAGGATTTTAATAGCTGTTACATATGGCTAGCACTAATGGCCTCAACTAGGTTTGTGACATTGATAGGGATTATAGTATTGACCCAATCCTGTCAATCTGAGGATCCTTCGGGCCGAGTGAGCCGAAACATCGACCAAGAGGGAGGGTCGTGTTAGGATCAACAATTCAAAACGCAGTTCTCCATCAAGCCCAACATACAAGTCCAAACGGGGTTCCATTCTAAAACCAATTGGCAATAGAAGGAGTAGTCCACCAAACTTATATATTGGACTTGGAACCTTTAATTTTTCGATGTGGGATTGGATTTGCACACTCTACAGGTCGAACGCCTACCCATTGGTTGATAAGTGTGTCCAAGAAAAGAGGGGTCAACCACATGAGGCGCTCACTCATCCACCCAGCGGTGGATACGGGTGATGGTGGCGAGGTGGGTCGACCACGGCGAGGTATCTACCCATCGACCCAATGGTCGATATTTATGACCATGGTGAAGTGGATCGGCCAGGTTGACCCTTACAGACCAGAGCGTCGATTAAAATATGTTTGGTCGACAGGCGATTAGGAATTTATTACCGTACAACTAAATACTATATAAAGGGTAAATTGAAGAGGAACGAGTACACTTAATAGAGAAAAAAATGCAAGATATTTTTTCACCCATGTTTGTTTCTTTTTATATTTTATTTTTCGAAATGGATTTTATTAGGGATTTAAAAGAGTCGAGCTGAGTTTGAGTTCTTGATACTCAAATTCGAGCTCAGGCTAAAACCTTTTATCGGCTAGACTCGTTAACTAAATAATCTTTAAGCGAGCTTAATAAACGAGCCAATCAGGTTTGAGCTCAGACTAAAGTCTTTATCGGCTCGGCTCATTAGCTAAACAAACTTTAGGCGAGCTCGATAAAAGAGCTTATAAGTTGAGCTCAAAAATGGATCATTTCGTTAAACAACTTTAGATTTTACCTTTTCACTGTATTTTCTTCCTAAAGAGATGACATTATTATTTGGAAGTGGGCTAAACAAGAATTTTTCGTTCCTTTCTCATTTATCCTTTATAGTTAGGTAAAACTCAGTATGATAGTGTATACTTGTCTCCATAATTTAGGTAAGATGTGATTAAGAACGAGAACAATTTTGTCAGTGCTTTGGAACTAAGATAAAATTAGACGGCATTTAATTTATGACGTTGTTTAAGTGTCACAAGCTACGCAATATATTTTTTGTTTATTTAATGTCTCTTGATATATTCTAAATGGTATTATTATTTTTAAAGAATTAAAGACGAGTCACACCTTAATTTGGCAATCATAGCACCTACAATTCCTGATGTAGGGGAAGCGTACGAGTGGGATAGATAAACGAGAAAACGAAAGCGTACGAGTGGGATAGATAAACGAGAAAACGAGATACTCTCTCGTAAAACAGACAAAACTCACAATATCAATTCATCTTTTATTCATAAACAACCATCTCATAACAAAGTAGAAGAGCCCTTTAAATAAGGCTCCTAACCTAGACCTTAACTTGTCTAACAAGACAAGATCTCTTACTAATATTAAACAATAATATTAA